GTTCAAAATTCATAACATTCATATCACAACATAAAGCAAACAAACCAGATGACTGTACACAGATAAATATTCCCTCTAAAATAATTACAACTTATTAGGGAAAAAATCAGGATGATGGAAATCGCGCGAAGAAAATAGAGCAGTGCCTCACACCTAGGACAAGGCGTCCTATGCGCACAACTCATGGAACCTACGGTCCCAGACTTACCGGGGCTATATTTCACTGCCTCACTATGCATTGTGTCTTTTTGAACTACGTGCTTCTCCTCTACCGGAGTTCTAAGTTGGGCAGGAATTATGCTGGTCAAGCAATGGACGATTTCAAAATCTACACAATCGGGCCCATGTCACTGAATGACATACGGTTTGTTTGGTTCAGAGATTTTAGATGGGAGGGAAGATATATAGTTTCTAAACTATTTGTCCATTTGAAAGGTCAAAGGTATAGTTAAGATAAATAACTATATACTACGTACAAATTAAAAATACAGGGTCCAACCAATCATGTACCTATTTTAGTATATCTCATAAAATCACTTAACAAAAATAGATGATATAGTAAAATAAAAATCAATCCTTCTATTCACTCCTCTATGAAATCAACAAACCAAACAAGCTCAGGGAAAAGATCCAGATTGACAATACAAAAGGTGAAAGATAATACTTAAAGAATTACTGTGTACCACATACGTTATCAGCATTGTACTGATCAATGGCCATGGAGGTGTACTCCTTCACGAAGCTATAATGAGATCGATACTTATCGTCGTCCTCAGAATCCTCTTCTGAGTCCTCATGTGAATCCTCATCTGAATCCTCCTCCACATACGCCTCCAAAGTCTCCTCCGAGTAGAGTGGTTGTACTCCGCCAGAATGGATACAAGCTGGTACAGGGAGGACATCAAAACCCTAACAACACAGTTAAACTTAACAATTACAGAACCGAATAAGAAATAGAAAGGACCGTGCACGTTGATAGGCCACCTCTGACTCAATCAACCGTCTATTGTACTCCTTCGTCTCCCTCCAAGCTTCTTCACTCTCATAATCGCTCTTGCTTCCGGCATAATCATCACTGTTAAAACTTTTGGCGTCATCTTCGCTTCCCAATGTTTCAAGTGACACCGGTGGTATTTCCTCGCTCGACGCGGTGCTGTGGGTGCTATCATCCGCTGTTTTTCCTTCCCCAGATGATGGATCAAAATTCGGGAAGTTGAGTGTTTTTTCTCCGCCGATGAAATCTGTGTTCAACATGGTCGACGAACTCCACATGGTGAAGCAATTTCGTTATTAATATCCATTCCCAATTTCAGCCTGGATATTAATAACACGCGGATCGGCGGGTGGTCGGGTGGGGTCGTCGTATTCGATCGAATATTACTAGTTGTCTGGTTGTACGAGACCTGTGGATATTAGTGGAAGATCCCATACAATAAATGAAAGGTGATTATGGTGCCACAATATCCGATATGACTCCATAAGGGAGTGACCCCATATGCCATCGGACACGTACCTGGGGTATGCTCTTCGCCACCGTCACCGTTTCATTGGCTTTGTGAAACACTACTCCCCCTTATAAATATCAAATCAAATCCCCCAAATGGCTTAGGGTTTCCGATTTCTCGCTTCTCAAGCTTGCCGTTCTGGAAGTCTATGCCACCAAGGTTTTCTGGTTCGTCGCTGCTTTTTATAAGGTAATTTCGGTTTTCCTTTTTCTACTCCAATCTTTTTTTAACCTCGGTATGGCGACCTCGATGGAAATCTCGTCGAGCTCTAGCTCCAGCTATTCATTGGATTCTAGTTCTGATTCCCGATCCTCGGGCAAAATTAAACCAGCACTTCTGGTAACCTGGGTTCTGCCTCCACTGTGGGGACTATAGACCTATAGTTGTTGATGATGCTAATGGTGCCGCCACCCAGCAAGTGAATGTGATGATAAGTGCCACTTCCACAAGTGTGTCCGGAGAAGACGCCTCTGATGGAGAAGGTGAAGGGGACGTCTCACAGGAGATCGTGGTCCAAGATAATAGTGGTGCAGGGGGTGTCGCGATTGGCGTCCAGTGGGTTATGACTCAGGAACCGAGGCCCGAGATGGGAGTGACGAGGACGTGTATGATCGGGGTATTTTGATGGACGCCAGGCGCCACATGGTACACATCAAGAATGCCATCGGACATCCGCAGTCCTTCTCAGATCGGGCTCTAGATGATCTGAAGATTTTCCTTCCCCCTCCACTCATCTATAGTCTACGAGGGTGACACACATGATGAGGAGACGCTTCTCAAGTTATGTTTACCGGGCGTTGGTTCGAGTTTTGTGTTGTTTGGAGTCAAAATCAGAAATTTAGAGTTCGGCACCGGCGCGTGAGGAGCAATAGGAATGATTCGAGATGCATTCGAGAGCGGATTGAGAGCTTTGGAGGTCACTGGGAAGTTCACGGTGAAAATTTGAACGCAAAAGAGCTCTAGGAGTGGTTACGGGATCAAAAGAAGATGAATAAAGGTTGAAAACGACGATCAGGATGACCTTTTGTCAATCATTCAAGCATATATCTTTGTAGAAACATCCAATTAACACTATTCAAGTTCCATATAAAAGCCAACTTCAAGGACTACAAATCATATGAAGACATCATTCCAAGAATCGGAGGGCAAGAAGGTGAAAACAGACAATGAATTCAGGTGATCCCTGTTGCGATTTCATAATGAGACCTTCCACCATTTGGATCATATCTCTTGATTGGATTATTCAAATCCAATTCGAAAAATTGCAGTGGATAGAGGACTTCATTATCTACAACTTTCTCGAAAGAAGTTTTGTGAAATTCGGAAGTTTAACGCACACCGTGCGTAGAGGAACGCACGATCGTGCGTCCGAGACAAGAAAGCAAGGAGGCCACTGTCAGCCACGCACAGTCGTGCGGATTTCAACCTTTGTTAGTCTCAGATACTCATCCGTTTTCTATAAATAAGGTCTCTTTACTCACTCATATTTTTGGGTTAGGAACATTACGAAGAGGCCCAGAGACGAGATTACTTGCGTTTTTAATTTTTATCATTGTTTACCCCAAGACCCTGGGATTATTTGTAAGTTCATCTTTTTAATTAATGACGATTATTTTTATTCATCCCAATTATGTTGATTCTTCAATTATTAATTGCGAGTAATTTAATTAGGGATTTGGAGTTGATGAAGGGGTTGATCATGATGTATGACTGGATTCTTGATGGTTTAATTGCATGAATGCCGTCTAATTTGTGTTTGAATAATTTAACTGATATCTTTTGTAACCTAGAACGGTTGCTAGAATTACAATTGCTTCTTGAGTAAATTAAGAGAAATCTAGTCTCAAAAAAGATCTTTTTATTTTTTGAAAAGCTCTTAAAATTGGCATACCAAACACACAACTTGAATCTTTTAAAAACTTATTAAATAATACAAAAGCTAGAATACAGAGACTTATGCGTGCCAAACATAGCCTAAATGGGCCAAGATTAAGTTCAGACTTCTACCGCTGCAACGATTGCTAATTTGCTATACTAAGCTGATTTTCTCCTTATTGTTCCGGATACGTTTGTTTTTTGAAAGGGGGTTCAAAAATAAAATTTCTTATTTATTAGTTCAAAAGGGGTGATGTTTTTAGCAAATAAAAATTAATTGAAACTTAAATATGACAATGTTTAAAAGTGATACGTGTCTTATGGGTTACACATTTTTAAACTTGAAACAATTTAAATAAAGTTATATTGCAGTGAGGTTCGCAGCAAGCGAGCGAGCGAGCAACACATAATAGTAATTAAATAATTAATTATAAAGAAATGAAATATAAACATATAAACACTTTACAAAGTTTAATAGTCCGTATCAATTAGTCAAACTTCACTTTTCAAGTCAATGATATCTTTATATATATATATAAAGAGAAGACGGCGTGGCATAACTGTTCCCGCCTAAGAAAATCACGAGAACAATAACTTCAAATCTTCCGGTTGTCTGACTTTGGTAACTGCGTGCCTGCTATTTATTTGTAGCATGGTTTCTAAACTGTTTATTTAATTGCGAGCACTCATGTGAACCATTCATTTGCCCTTCACATTACTAGCATATTATTGGCAATTTGGCCTGGTAAGTGCATTTATTTCGAGATGAATCAGTCCAGTACGATAGATTTACGCTGGCTGTGAGAGATAGTTTGGGAGGTACGTACATTCATACATTCATATATTCACACATACTTCTATTCAAATCTAATGCACGGTACAGGTATTATGCATGCTACACTGGCTGTGAAAGACCTTGACACTTTAATGTTCTGATCATTCATTCGATGCTAGAATATAATTGGTAGATAGGGTAAATATAGCAGTTTACAAAAAAAAGAATTTGGTGGGATCTTCACTTCGGAAACAAAGATATTTTGCATAAGTTTAATGATACGTAAAAATGTAGAAAATAAAAAAAATGTATGTGGCTCAACACATGGCGAAATGAAGATGATTTTATTGTCTTTTACTCCATATTATACGATAGTAGTACGTAGTAGTACGCAGTACTCACGGTACATTCCTAAATGCTTAGCAAGTAGACTTTACAATCAAAGAGATTTCTAGAAAACATCCTAAATTATCTCATAAATGTTCAGTCTCACGAATAAACATCATATCTTAAAAAGTCGATGGATTGAAAATATAGCATATGAAAGATAGATGTAAAACAAACATATATAATACGTAACTATTTAAATTATTATACTCCGGCCTATATATTGTGAGTGAGTTGTTGAGAAGGAAAGAGTCGCTTTGGTGAATTTAGGTGAAGCAACAACATAATACTCCGTATTTAAATTAAAGGAAGGTACTTTCTACGGTGCCTATTTTATTTTCTAGGGTACGGTGCCTTGTTTATGTGGCCCAATAAGCATTAGACACGTGGATAAGCAAAATACTGACTGGGCATTCAATTCTAGAAAAAAGTTTGCACTTCAGTCCTTGTGTAATAAACCGGAATTGTAAACGTTAACGGAGGTTTCACTTTTCTGCTCTCTACCAAAACGAGAAGTCCTATCCCTCTTCCAGGTTGCCTACTATCCACCGCAACCAGAGGCGGCTACTTCTCTCCATCGCAACCGACGACACATAATCGCGGAAGATGAATTTAGCGGCAACGGAGGCTTCAGTACAGGGAGCGAAGGAAACCTGGCTGCCAGAGCACAATCGCGGAAGAGGAAATTAGCCCAATCAACTGCGATTTTCGAGCAATTGAAGGTTTCTCCTGAGAAAATTCTAAAAACTTCGGTATGTGCTTGGTTTATTCATCAAATCTATTTTAGGGATTTTTATTGAGAAACAGGTACTGGAATTTTCTTACAAGCTCTTGTTCTCACTTCTCAGAGCATATTTGGCCAAATAAGCTTTTGATTTCTGTTCCAAATAGTCATTTTTTATGCTTCTGTTCTGGCTTTGTTTATTTTCTGTTTTGGCAGCAAGGATTATCCTTTTGTTTTTTCTTGATAGGACTGGTGTGAGTATACATAAGAACATGTTTTTATATTAACAATTCCATGGAGGCTTTAACTTTTTTAATAAATGAAAGCACAAAGACATTATTTCTATCCAGCTGTTTATTCAAGTCTCTAGAGTACGCATCGCTCAGAGAGAAAAGAGTGCAATGAAAATATATTATCAGACCTTGCATACAGCGATTAAGAGACACCATTGTTAACTTCATCAGAACAAAAGTGAGCACCTAGCATCATTACATCATCATCTTATCATGCATTGATGGTCTATAGTGACTTAGCAGCTCCAGAATCCAGTAGTATAGAACAATACCAATACAAGAAAAATGCATTAAATCCATAAATGTATATTACCATATCTTTCAGTTCAAACTTTAGGTATGGCCGTGTGGGTATAATAATGTGGGTTTCTAGTATGCACAAAATGTTAGTGCCAACCCACAGATAAAATAAAGGGAACATAATTGGTCATAACTCTCTTTCATGGGCAAATAAAATCCACAAAATAAAGGGGATAGAGTTGGACCTGAAATCCCTTTTCACGGGCAATTAAAATTCACAGTACCTCATTTAAAAGTATAGCAAGATATGCTCTGCCATTTCTAGAGTTCACTGTTCTTCCACATCCAGTCCCAGGGATCTTAATCCTATATTCGGAAGTAAACAGCCTCTAGTTATGGCTTATAAGGCGGTTAAGACAACAAAGCCTGGGCTTGAAATGCCTGGGCTTGAAGAGCCACATGAGCAAGAGCAAGAGCACAAAATCAGAATCACACTTTGATAAAAAAAATGTGAAGTCGAGTCTGGGGACTTTTTGAAGCAACTGGAATATCTGAATCCGAATTCAGCACATGTGGATGTTTGTAAATTTCCTTTCAACGAGGCATCAGGTTCACGTTTATCCTCTCCTCTCCTGTTTTTCTTCTTCTGTTCATGTTGTTGTAAAAGCATTCTGGAATATCATCATTCACATGTTTGGTAATTCCAGAAGAAAAAAAATACTAATAAGTTCTTTTGCTTTTGTGACTATTCAAGACTTTCTGTGTTGGTTTATTTGCATAGATTCAGACATGGAAACGGCTGAGGTTCTGATAAAGATTGGTCTAGAAGAACCAAGTCGATGGGTTTGGGTAACAGATGACATGGCTCCCAATAATGTTGAGGAAAGGAGTGGAATTGATAATGAAAGTTATGTAATTGTTAACGAGGATTTGATTGTAGATGCAGTTGCAAACTTCATGGCTAGATGCATTATGTCCAACAGGAAAGCTCAGGTAACTGGCATTCAAGAGACCTCCCTGATCTTAACCTGTAATAGTTGGTTCTTTGTGAAATACTCTGTATGTGTTACTTCTTAAGTTTTTCCTTATTGCAGAGCATGACTCCCCAGCAGCTTCAAAAGAGTAAGTTTACGCTTTGCTGTTTTTTTATCACTCCATGCATTTCATTAGTCTATTAAAGATTGCAATAACTTAAATACTTTAAGGCTGGAGTATCTATGCCTAGCACCATAAAGCGTTAACCTTTCATCATAAACTCCATAAATCTTTAACCTTTATATATGCATTTTGAAACTGTCCCACTCTTTAAACAGGAATCATTTCTTAAAGGAAAAGCTTGAAATGGGGAGGGATGAGAATCTATGGAGTTATTCCACATTTCCACTACTGATTAGCGCTTTTTAAAACTCTACTTAGTTGGCCATAAATAACATATTCAAGTGTCCGCCTTGCCATCTCCATATCCCTACCAAAGTAGCTGATTTGACAGCAAAACAAACAGTGCTCTACAAGAAGAAATGAATGGAAGTGAAAACGGAACAGGCAGAGGCAATACATGTCTATGTTCGTCTCTCTATTCAAACAGATGACTAGCAAGAATTAACAAAACATGAGAGAGAATACACACATATATAGGTGTGTGCTTTATAGAACCTTGACCTAATAATTTTCCTGATATAGGAGTAAAAACCGTGTAAAATTCCAAAACAAGAGTAGTATGTTTTCCCCCTAAACAAGAGTAACTTACTTCAATCTCAAAATTCTATTGCCATATTTTGGCATTAATTAATATGATAGGAACCCACTTATATTAGACTAATAATAGAAGTATTAATAATAATATTAGTAATAAGGGTCTGAGGACCCTAGTATAAATAGACGGGTAAGGGAGTTAGAAAGGAGGGCTTTTGGGACTTTTGGACTTTGGGACTTGGGAAGATCGAGAGCTTTCTCTTTCTTTGGGGGGCTTCGGCTCATTTGGGGGCTTCGGCCATACTCTATCTCTATAGTGTTACAGATTCTGTTCATCTTCAATAAAATTCTCAAATTGTTCTTGTTGATCTCTCTGTAACTTTACTGCTAACCTGGAGGATTCTATCAATTGGTATCAGAGACAGTTGGTCGCTGGATGACCGTGACGGAAGGAAGAATGACGGAATTGGAAAGAAGTCAACGTGAGAGGCAGGCGAGTATGGATAGAAGTCTGCGGGAGTTTCAAACTAGTATCGCGACTACTCTGGCCACGATGCAAGCCAGTATCGCGGATTTGCAGAATAGGTCTCCAGGTCGATCAGGGAGTCGATCGCATAAATCGACTTCATCGCACCGTACGTCACTCCAGGGGCATGCGAGGTATAAAGATAGTTCTGAAGGATCGGACAATCAGTCGGGTGATTCTGCATCGAGGCGTGATCGCGATCCTCACAGGCATCGTAAAAATCATCATAATTCGCTAAAGTCAGCAACTTCAGAGGAATCAGAAGATCTGAGGCATCGCAGAAAATCTGGCGATCGAACTGTTTCTTCGCCAAGCTCTTCACATCGCTCTTCGCAGAGTTCTTCTCATCATTCTTATTTTCGCTCTTCGCATCAGACTTTCTCAACGGACATCAGTACGCGTTCAAGAAAGAAGCTAGGGAGTGGAGAATCATCATATTCGTCGCCAAAGGATTCTCACAGTTCACCTTCTTCGTCAAAAGTCAATTCTAGGAAGTCAGATATTTCAAAGGAGGAATTACCTCTATTTTACGAGCATGAAGCATACGAATGGATGGGGAGGATGGAAAGATATTTCCAAGTCCAAGCTATTGCAGAAAGATTTAAAGTGGATGTGGCAGCAAAGGCTATGGGGGAAGAAGCAGATGGCTGGTTTCAATGGTGGGATTTTCACAAGAGAGAAGACAGTTGGGATGCACTAAAAGAAGATTTGATTAGGGATTTTCCACCTAAACACCGGCAGAAGACAGGGAAGACGGTAAAACAGGAGTCATCCAAGTCACGAAGAACTTCCAGTTCGCAATCTTCTAAGCGAATTAATGTTACTCCATGTTTGAAATCGAGTACCGCTTTGACCAGCTCGCTAATTAATCATCATCTTCAATCATCATCAGAAGGAATTGTTATTGATTTGCAGATGCCATCAAAACTTTTGTCCCAGCTTTCCGAATCAAGATGGAATCCGGCTGAATCATCAATTTCAAATGAACTTGTAATCAAGATGGAACCAACTGAACCTGTAATCAAGCAAAGGAATAAGGAAGATGAAATCAGGGAGGAAAGAGTCCTAATGGTTCCTGAAAAGTCTGATCCAAAGATTCATAAGGATCATGTTTATCCTTTTTCTGAAGAATCTGCTATCACCCGGGGAAACCGCACACAGATTAATGCTGCTGATAAATCTAGCCATAGCCAACACCTCGAATTACAACAAGCAGAATTACAGCCCAAATGGGTTGAGAACATGTTAGACTACCCCAAGCCTGACTTACATAATTCCCTTAGAGCAAATGAAAGTTATCAATTGTTTGGAGACATCTATGCAATGACAGCTCATAACCTATTACTTCCTGAGGTTTATAAAGTCTTCACAAGGTTTTTACAAAGGTTGAACCCAAAGAGTTACCAGCAAACTCCAGTAATTAGGGCTCCTGGTAGCATACAGCCTTTGGATGTTCACATTTTACCTTATGTTAGGCAAATGTGGACCAAACCACGACAACATGGTGAAGAATTGGTTATTGATTCACCAGATCTTCTGCCACTATGGTTGAAACCTTTACCAATTGAGGACATCAAAGCTGTGAGCGGAGTTTCTTGTGATCCTAATACCAGGATAAGTATTCAAAGAAAGAAGCAGGGACTATGGGAATGGGGAGGAATTTCAAGGATGAAAGAAATGAAGATGAATGGTCAAGTATTGATGCTGATGGGTGCAGTTTACAAAAGGAATGGGCCTAGTCTTAAGTTTGATAGAAGAGAGTGCAATATCATGGAACAAATGCTACTTCGGGATCAGGATTGGGAAATACAATTGGAGGTTGTTGAGTTCTTAAATTCAAAGATAGAAACACAGTATGACTCAAGTTCTCTTGAACCTTCTTCTGACATGTGTGTGAATGAAGTTCTGCATGAGATATTCAGGGTGAAGTTTCAATCAAGAGATAGGGTGAAGTCAGAAGCAAATGCTAGGCTGTGGCTGATCAGGAGTTTTTCATATAGAGGACTAGAAGTTTGGAAAAGTATGACACCACCACCAGCTAGATATTGGGAGGGGAGAGGCACCCGGAGGAAGCGGAATTCCAGAATTGGTTCCTATCATCCCACCTTGAGGACAAGGTGGTTGTTTAGGGAGGGTGTATTGATAGGAACCCACTTATATTAGACTAATAATAGAAGTATTAATAATAATATTAGTAATAAGGGTCTGAGGACCCTAGTATAAATAGACGGGTAAGGGAGTTAGAAAGGAGGGCTTTTGGGACTTTTGGACTTTGGGACTTGGGAAGATCGAGAGCTTTCTCTTTCTTTGGGGGGCTTCGGCTCATTTGGGGGCTTCGGCCATACTCTATCTCTATAGTGTTACAGATTCTGTTCATCTTCAATAAAATTCTCAAATTGTTCTTGTTGATCTCTCTGTAACTTTACTGCTAACCTGGAGGATTCTATCATAATATGGCAATATTGATGCCACAATTGAAGCACAACAATAATTACTCCTATTTAGGGAATAAAACTATAATGATCCTATTTTGGAATTTCATAGTCTTTACTCCTACTTAGGGGAATTTTTTAACCTTAGTTTTAAAAGGTGTAAGGCGTAGGGGTGCAAACAAGCCGATCCAAGCCTGAACTCGCATAAGCTCAAACTATAGCTTGAAAATATCGTGCATGCTTGAGTTCAGCTCGAGCTCAATTGAGCTTAAATATTTATACTCGAGTTCGACTCGAATGCTTTGACTAAAGTTCGCGAGCCGATCGAGAACAACTCAGCTCAGGCATTTATCCCGAACTCAGCAATTGTGCTGTTTGCCTGGTGCCTTAATGATATATCGGAGATGAGCTAAACATGAGAAGTTTAAGTTTAGATCTTACATTCACAAAAATCTGCCAAAGCAGTGATTAGAACTAGGTGGCCAGTTTCATCTCCAAGGGGAATTTCAACTCTTCTACTGAGACGATTGTGTTAGTATTGATCTCAAATTGTACTTTTACCTTTTTCTGGACGAGTTAAAGAAAAAAACTAATAATTATAACATACTTCGTTTTATAAATATTACAGATTATGGCTATAATAATAATCAATATTATTATATTTAATTATTACTATTGTAATATAATAAATATTGAAAATGGAATAATCCTAAATTAGAATAAATATTTCCAAAAATATTACTCCGTATATATATACATATATAATTATTATATATTACGTATAATATATGTATAGACACACACCACGGCTCGTGAGCCACGAGCCTAAAATAAAAGGCTTGAATCGAGCTTGTTAAGTATTCAAGTCAAACCGAACTCCAGTCGAGCTTGAATATGACCGAACTCGAGTCGAGCTCTTTCCGAGTGGTCCACAAGCGGCTCGCGAAGTGCTTGGCTCATTTACACCCCTAGTAAGGCGCATTGAGGCGGTTTAGGTTCCAATTGAACTTGATTTCTACAATTTAGATTACTCATATAAAAGCCAGATTGTCCACTTATTATTTATACTATGTTTTTATTAGTTGATTCATTATATAGCAAATTAGCAATCCTAGCGGGTTGCATGTAGTATTCTGTAAAGCTCTCCTTCATATGGTATTTCTTAATACATACTGCTATAGGTTATGCCGGTGTATTTTTTATTCCTGAGATCTTGCAATCACATGGCATGAACTTCAAATTGCAGCGCTGAAAAAAGCATTGGGTGGCATGAACAAGTTGGAGGCGATGCTCAACATTTGGAGTGCGGGAAAGTTGTTTTATGCTTTCTCTACATGGGGACTTGCTCTTGCAGGGTAAGTTTTTGAACCTAAATTTCTGCCTTGTTTCCTTTTGATAAATTTTATTCTTGGATACTTGTGTTATACAATGTCAACTTTGCTGAACTCTTTTAGGACTAAGGCTTCGATGTTGTTGTATTGATTTGATAAATTTCTAAAACATGCCTAAAGAGTAGTCATATTTACTGGAGTGTTTTTGTAGGTTGTACAGCAGTCGAAGTGTTCTGAAACTTGCTGCTTTGGGCGTTCACACAACGAGCAAAGTGGTTATGAAAGCTCTTTGAGTTAGTGACGTGGTATGTGTAACTGTGTAAGCGTACAGTATATTATTTGAACTTTCGCTTGTAAATACCATCAAGGTTGTTCTTTCCTTGGGAACCAGATCCTATTCCAGAATCCAGATAAGTGTAAACAGAAATTGGTGTTGATACTAAGCCTACTATGCACTTTGAAGATCAATATAATTGTAAATTCCAGATGACTTTGTGCCTTTGTGGATTTCAAACCTTGTTTCCTTGTCAATTATGTGTTGACTGGTAATGTTCTTATTCTATTTTCCCCTGTTTTTGTTTTTCTTCTCTTGAAAACAAAAACAAGAAGTGTTTGATTGTAGCAATCTTGTTTCAAGTTTTTGAAATAATTGCATTCCAACTTGATACTGAAAATTTTGAGTTTCTTGTTTTAATGTGCATAAAGAGCGTCTATGATATAAAAATTTGTACTATTTGGTAACATAAATCTAGTGATGCCTCGACCGATCATCGCGTACTCACAGATGAACTATAGGCTAGGAGTTGGGTTTTAATGCCATCTCCATATCCCACTATCTACTAAACACTCAAGTTCTCCTCGAGTCATCCTTGTATAATGAAGAAGTGTAATATAAATGTGAATTGGAAATTTTGGATATTATTTTGGTTTTAAAACTCAATCCAATTATTTAAATTAAACAGCAAGAATGCAATGTCCAACACAAAAAAAAAGGAAATCTAAAAACAAGAGTTTGGAAATGCTTAAATGTCCATCAATAAACAAAGAAATTAAAGTAAAGATAAATAATCAAAGTTCGGTGCATCAATCATTCAATTGATTAAGTGGTGTTTTTCTTGCCACCAAAATCAGCAATAGTGAGGTTCTCATCCACCTCATTTTCTTGTTTAGTCACAAGATTCATGTTCCTTGGATTCTTGCCTTGGTACTTCAGATTCATGTTGGATTCTCGGTATTTCTTGCGTGGCTGCGACTTTGGCTAGCTTGGCAATTCTTGTGCCAAAGTCCAGAAATTTCAAATTTGTAAGAGGGTTCTTCACCAACTCTTTCCCATTTGATTGGAGGTTTTGTGGGTGCATTGTTAACTTTGTTTCCTTGACCCAGGGCCGGTCCTGATATTTTATGGGCCCGGGGCGATTGAAAAAAAAAGGCTCTCAAAAGGTTATATAAATATATTGCAAAAGCTTAACTTTATATACGCAAATTTCAACATACAAAGTAATGTAAGTCTTTCATCAAAGTCTTAATATAAACTAAACGAATAAAAATTATGTTAAAAAATAAAAAATAAAACTAGAGAATTACTTGTGAAATTGAAATTTCAAATTTGGAAGATATTTTTGAGAAAATTAGGAGAGTGTTGATTGCTGAGCAAAACGAATTAAAGTCCAAAGATAAAACCTTGAAATTAGGCCTGCCTAACGAGAAATGATGTCAGACTGGGGCCATTTGAGGCCCTTCCCGATAGAACTTTTTCATGAAAATGTTTAAATATATTCTTCATGAAATCTATAATATCTCCGCAAAGTTTCAGATTAAAATTCAACCTAGAAGTCAGTTAAATAAATTATTGAAAGATAGTACGCATTATTTATATACACAAAGCGCAGTGTGTTTCAATATTTTATTTAACTGACTTCCTGGTTGATTTTTAAACTAAAATTTTGTGAATGTAATTTACACTTGATGAAAAATACTCTAAAAAAGTTTCATAAAAAAATTCCTCCATAAAGGGCCCCAAATGACCTCGGTCTGATATGAATTGTCCTCTCTATATTTATCCATTTATATATGATTATGGGCCCCTGTAAATGTTGGGCCTGGGGCACAAGCCCGGCCTGCCCTTGTCCAGGGCCGGCCCTGCCTTGACCACTAGAGCAACACCCACATCTCTTCTCCACACTTTGAAAGACCCTCGGCTCATTCCATGACCACCACAACCACTACGACCTACACGATTTCCACGACCTCTCCCATTTTGTGAGTTTTGTCCATGAAAGTAAGAATCGGCATGTCGTTCACTCCTTACATTGAGGTTCTTTTCACTACTTATTTCGACAATTTTCTTTGTTCCAATTGGTCTAGCATTGTTGTTCAAAAGAACTTCATTATGCATTTTTCCCATTTGGAGTAGATTCATTAATTGATTCTATGTTGTTATTCTTTTGTTATCATACTCCAACCTATACTGGTTCACCAGTATAAATGTTGAGCTAGGAAATGTGGAACAAGTCTTTTCAATCACTTCACCTATGTGATTATTTTTTCGCAAAAGTTGAGACGTGCCTTGTGGTTCAACATATCCTTATTGAAATCACTAACCTATTCGGTGGCTTAGTGGCTACAAGCAAATCTTTGGTAAGTCTGGACTCTAGAGTGAAGTGTCAGTTGAAATGTGTAGGGATGAAAGTATTGGCAGATGTGATGCGCAGGGACAAGGCCAAAAAATATAACACAGAGCTGATAGCTAATAGTCCATATTAACTGGCTACTGTTATAGAGAAAAGATATAGGAGAGCTATACAATGCTGATAACGTGTAATAGGAAAGATGTGTATTCATTGCACAGAATGCTCCCATTAAATGGCCTTACAATGCATGTGCTTCAGGGGCCGATTAACTTGGTGTATACATTATCTCCACACATATTCTATCTACATTGCTATTAAAAACATTTGTATCTTTATAAGTTTATATAAAATGGCGTTACTATTACCTCCACCAGAGTTGGGCAAAGCACACTACTACTATGTTTCCGAAGTTTGGCAATGAATCCATGATACTCTTTACTGTTGCTGGTTAGTTTTTATCGAGGGTGATTTACTACTCCTAAGCTTGGAAAAACAGCTATACTGAAATTGATCGATTGAAACTTTGAAACCTAACCCAACAAAATGCAACTGACCAAAGACGAAATAAACTAATTTAAAGAGTTTTTGCCATTTTTGGTCCCTCGACTATTATGTCAATGACACTTTTGGTACTCGACTTCTAATTGTTCCATTTTTTGTCCTTGACTATTGTGCTAGAGACATTTTTAGTCCCCGACTTCAAGGTTTCCCACATTTAGTCCCTGAGTATTGTCAAATTGACACTTTTAGTCCTCCCATTATGATTTTGACACAATAAGTGGAGGACTAAAAAAGTCACTATTATAATAGTTGAAGGACCAAAAGTGTCACTTTTATGAAAGTTGAAGGACTAAATATGGAAATTTTTAAAGACGGGTACCAAAAGTGTCTCTAGCGTAATAGTCAAAGACTAAAAATGAAAAAAATCAAAGTCGAGTACCAAAAATGTCAATGACATAATAGTCGAACGAATCCCTAACTCCGCCGGAAAAAGGTCGCCAGGAACTTATGTGTTTGGTCTGTAAAACTCGATGAATCCCCGAAATAAAGCTTCTGAGCACCCTGAAATAAAGCTTTTGAGAACTAAAGCTTCCACTTTGATGAAAATTGGTAAGTTGCGGGTATGGCCTGAATCTTGCAGGAAGCTTCACGCTTTTTTGAAGCCATCGGATACCTTGCAGGAAGCTTCACCATTTTTCCCAAATATGTAAATAGTCCATAAATGTCTTACTTAAAAATCCACACAATCTTGAGAAATCCATACAAGTCTACTAAAATCTCATATTGTCACAAATCTTAAAAAGTCTAAATAAGTCCCAAATGATACACTCCCCTTAATGTTATAAAAAGTATGATAAATGTATCTCATACAAAAAGTCAATATTTGAGTTAAATAAGGAAGCTGAATCTGAACATAAATAAGTCTTTAACTTGGAATATATCTGGCCCAACATGTAATTGTTGACCTTACCAACTTCATCTTTGATTCGAGCAAAAATAGTCCTGAAATAAATACAATAAATCAAATCGCTATGGGTTAATATATCGTGATAAATACTCAAATAATAGATTCAATACAATATCAATGAACCATTATATTCTTCATTGTGGTTTTCTTTAAAATCACAATCCTTAATAATAAAAAATATATATAAATTACTCACATTATGGAACAATAATTGTGGAGAACTTAGACACTTTTTCATTTAAATAGCAAAATACATCACACACATATAGAGAATTGAGGCTCGGCTTTTCCAGATAAGCATTTGAAATTTAGTATACTTCATTTAAATAGTCCCAAAAGGATATTCAACTTATCATTTGCAATATAGTTGTGTGTTAAATGAATAACAAATAATGTAAAAAATAAAATGTTCAATTCAAGGTAAAAGATTTTTTTTGTGGCATTTCGATTGAGTTATACTCCATATTGGTTTTATGTTTCAAATCGTATAATATCACGATCTCAAAATAGAATGTAATAAATTAAGGATAAATCAACATAAAAACGATTATATATTGACATCAAGAAGTAATACAAAGAAAAATCTCTATAAATTAATGTGTGTAATACTCACTTCTTCAATGAGGAAGGAGTTAAATGAGATTACTCTTTAACCTAACACATATAATTTTACTATAAATTTTGTTTTACTATAAATTTTGAAAGGTTATTAGGATGTGGCTAAAGAAAGATCCTATTAATCTTGATCATTCTTTAAGGGGCCTTTGGACAGCGCTATCACTAATAATTAATAAATGCTCTTACTTAGTGAATAAAAACATGAAAGTTTTTTTTGTAATTTCAATTTTTGTACTCCTATAACAAAATTCTCTTTAATATAATACTCCCTCCGTGCCATTTAAAGGTTCCTGTCCACTATTCGCGTGGTCAACTTAAATCATTCTTAATCTTTTGCTTTATATATCAAATTTTTATCAAACTTACATTTTTTTAATCAGGTTTTGTAGCAGTTTTAATGTAGTTTCTAAATATGTAAATTTTATTTACTAAAAATAATCAGAGTGTGAACATGAATTAAGTTGCTTTATTGTCAGTCGAGCATCGTAAACCGCAATTGAAACCTCCTAATGGGACGGAGGGAGTACTAGTCATGGTGGTAACCTTTTCAGATTCTAGTCATGTTGGTAACTTTTTTTTTTTGAGGAAAGGTGGCTTACATATAACTCAAAACATCTGGATAGCAGGAAAACTGACAAAGTAACTTAAGATAACCGCCGTCCCGCGAACCAGAGTCGGAGTCAACTACCTCGGTAATATAACTCGCTGATCCAAAAGTGGGCACAACTGAGCCAGTGACGGTAATCATAGTTAAATCATCTCCTACCTCCAAATCCAACCCAAACGTTTTACAGGCATAACCGAAAACAAAACAAAAGGAAGGACAAAAACTGTCAGAAACAAACAAGACACACCAGACTGAAAAATAATAATTATAACAACGAAACAACACCCCGCAGCACCATCCAGTCGCTTTCTGTCTCCCAGCCTCCCCGGACGAGCTTACCCCTCTAAGTTTGTCGCCTCCCCGTTTTTTCCGTTGTCCAGAGCCATCTCTGCTGATTCCTGTTCTTGAGTTGTCCCTACTTCCCAAGTACGCCTGCGCTTTTCGCCTGCATATTCTTAGCTTTGTTTCAGAACCACTTCCCTGTTGGAAGCACTGCCAGAGTCAGACACATCTTCTTTGTCCCCCAGCCCTTTCTCTTCCTTTCCTTGCCCCGACCACCCCTGGCTCTTCTTTCCCGAACTCGAGCTTTCCCCAATCAACCATTTGTTTAACCCTGTAGGGTTGGTCTTCGCTCCTCCCCCTGCCCTAAGAGACACATCAAAACTTTTTTCCAAAACCAAACCTTCTTCATACAAAAGATGCCCCATAACCCCACAAATAAAGCAAAAGTTGGGCAACCTCTCATACTGAAAATCAACCCAATACCCCACTCCATCTTTCTTTAACGGTGTGCCTTTTTTCAGTAGGAGCTCTACATTAATACAAACTCTAACCCTCATATATGGCCTCCAGTGTTCCCCATTATTGTTTTTGTCAGGCCACAAATTTTCCCAAAAAGTTACCCACTTTCCTAGCAGTCCCTAGATTCAGCAATCCGTAAGGAACATTGAGAACCCGAACCCAGAATTTTGCCTCATTCAGTATAATCTTATGGGGAATATCTGTTGGTTTAATCTCTTTAACAATCAATAAATTCTTCTCAAACTGTCATGGACCTCCTTCAACAACACGCTTCATATCAACAGGATGATTAAAGTTAAAGATGTACCTTTTTCCCTCAATCTCCTTGATCTCTACTCCTCTGCCCGGCCGCCACACCGTCGACATTGCTTCCTTGAAGCCCACAAAACTGATCTTCCGGTCTGCAATCAACGCTCCAACCACTGAGAAGCGCGGGCGAACCCCCTCCTCATCTTCCTTTCCTTCCTCGGCGTCGTCGCAGTCCAGTTCCGTCTCCTTCTCCGCCACCTTCATCCTCTGGTACCTGTTTCGCTATGGATTCCATCTTGCCCGCGAAACAAAGCAAAACTTCTCTGCGATATAGGCTTCCTTCGCAAAGACCGGACGAAAACAAACAAGCCTCGAGACTGCTTCTGCGATCCTTCCCCACCAACCTGCTTTAAAAGCCGCGGCCACCCGATGTCGATGCTACCGAAGAGCCACCGCGTCTTGGTTTGATCGCCAACTTTTTCTTAAACATTCTCTTTATTATTAGTCATGTACTCCATATTACAAAATTGTCAAAATAAAACATATAATAATATATTTAGATCCCTTTTGGTAATAGCCAAATCGGCTGTATTGGCTGATTCTGCTAAATTTTATGAAATTCTGGCTGATATGGCTATATTGGCTGATTCTGCTAGTTTGTAAAAATAATAATTTACAATACATTGTATCAATTCAGTAAAGGAAAAATTATCTGAAAATAACTAAAATGATCATCTAACTCCAGCCAATACAGCAGAAAAGTAACTTCAATCTTACTTTTCTTACTACACAATATAGCCCGTAAAACCAAAAGTTATGTGTTTAATGAAAAAATTGACTTATAAACCTGAAAAGCAAAAAAATATGGCTAGGGCTATTGAGAAGTCAAATTATAATGGGAAAATTATTATTAATCTGCTGAGGTTATGCCATAATTATTAATGCAACTTCTCATTTTCAAAAATCAATTAATTACCCCCTGAGTTTTGATCGTTCTCACTATATGTCCATCTCATGTTAATATTTGTTAAATTAAATTTGATATAATTCTCAAATTCAACGAAAATTGTCTATGAAATTAATTTTTAAAGTAAAACACAATTTATTATCATAATTATGAGTCATTGTTTTTTATCGTTATGTTTTTTGCTCAATTACTCAATCGTGGAATAAATATTGATCATAGTAGTTAAGGTAAAAAGAGTCTCAATTGAGTAATATTCATGAGATACATAAAAGAAATATTGTTTGAAATATGTGTTATCAAAATTATATACACCTCTTCATCATCAATATAAAAGTCTTATTTGTAATTCATCCAGACGAATTAATCTCAATAACACTTCTTTCGTATGTAGCAAAGAACCAAGAAAAAATGAATTTTATCAATTCATGACCTAAAAGATTGATCTAGTATTGATAAGAGACCTAAAAGACAAAAATGTATCGATATAAGGCCTGAATAAATGAAACCTGTCGATCTAAGAACTAAAATATACTCATAATATCATAGATTTTGATTTGTTTAATTTTTTATTAATTCTATTACTAATTTTGATGATTTCTTCTTCAAAAAAATGTTTATTAATTTCATAAGCTTAAATGATATTTAATTTTTTTAAATAAAAAATATAAATTCATAATATTTTATATCTTACTCGTGAGTCTTTTCCCTTAACTACTTTCATTATTCCACGATTGAGTAGCTAAGTATAAAAATTGCGGTAAACAACAATGACTTATAATAATGATAATAAATTGTGATTTATTTTTAAATTTAATTTTATAGATAGTTTTTATTGAATTTGAGATTTATATTAAATTAAATTTAATAAATATTAACATGAGGGGGCAAACGGTGAAAATAATCAAAACTTAGGGGTAACTAATTGATTTTTGAAAATGATAATCATAATTTTCCCAATTATAATTACTTTGTCTTTAAACAATTTTATCTCCTCTCCCCTCCCAAAAGGCAAAACCAAACATACCCAACGACAATACTGGTGATGTTATCCAGACCCAGGGTTTGTTCTCTCTACCATTAGAGATGCTTTTTTTGTAGAGAGAAACATGAAAGTTAATCATCCGATTGAAGTAGCGAAGACGGTGTTGGAGGTCGCCGACGTGGCATGGACCGCCGTTGAATGCTGTCACCACTATCACCGCGACGGCCGCAAGGAGGCGCCGTCTTCACCATCTCTGAAATCAAACAGAGTAGAAGGGGATTTGGAGGCCTTGCGATCAGAAAATCAACGATTAAGGCAACTGCTTGAACAAAATCTAAAGCTTCTACAGCCTATTTTACAATCTCCCAAGTTATTACAAGATTGCCCTTCCGATGTACGAACGTTTACAAGCAAACTAAACAAAAATGTTAACAAGTTTTCGAAAAATATTTGTTGTTTCTCCTTAAAATGAGTTAAATTTTCTTAAGTTCATCCTTTTCAGCTCCATGGTCGGCTCATTGCTTCCGTCGAGTCTGGGGACTTTTTGAAGCAACTGGAATAAATTGCCACCAAGGTTCTCCTAATCACCACTAGAAAGTCTCCATGTGGAGAAGGAACCAACACATAGGACAGATTTGAGCTTAGGGTGCACAAGTGTGTTGTTGACCTATTCAGTTCACCAGAAGTTGTGAAGCAGATCACCTCAATCACCATCGAACCGGGTGTGGATGTTGAGGTCACAATTGCTGATCCTTGGATCAACTTTGAATGTGTTGGACACTCGTGGCTTGCTAAGCCTTGATTTTTGTTCTTTTTTGCTTTGTACTATCCCTGTGAGTTATGGGGGTCTTCTGAATTTCCCTTCCTACCTCCAACCTCTGTAGACTTTATGTATGAGTTTTGTATATTTGATGAAATATGGTGGAACATCTTTGTCAGGAAAAAAAGTATAGCAAGATATTCAGTGGGCAAGAGACGTGCACGAACCGAAAATCCTTTTGTTGTTCTAAGGCGACATCTGTGAGAAACACTTCATGTCCCTTTTTTTTTCTTGATAAGCAACAAATGCTTATTGCTCCGTAATTGAATGCTCGGTTATAGTTAGCATTTTTTCTGTTTCTGTTTTGTTTTCTGATTATTTTGTTTGTAGAACTATTTTTCAGTTCTTGGTAGAAAGGTTTGTGATTTTGGATTCTTAGTGCATAGTTTTGTTCATCGATGGAGTAGTTCATTTAATTTAATTCACATTACTTGCCTTAATTAAGGGTGGATCAGTAAAGTTTTATTTGAGTTCCAGATGGCTACTAGTTTTTAACAGCTAAAGGGATCCTCACGATGTTGTAAGTAGTAGATCTCTTAGTTAATATTCTTCTTCAATTTTAAACATTACGAGTTTTGTGTCATATGCCTTCTGTTGTTGACAACACAATTTTACCATATACGGAGTATATGTAATCACAATGGCCACAAATGAACTAAGTCCAACAAAAGATTCTCTTTAATACAGAGTAGAATATAATACAGATTCCTATTTCCTAGGAACTAAGAAAACATATAGATGCTAAATAAGCAGTCATTTTCACAGAATTTATTGAATTAGCAGTCTTATATTATAGATATCGTTTTTATAATTAATTAGATTTTTCTACTTTAGGACCTTTTTCCAGTCTTTCAAAAATGTCAGAGCATTGTGAAGAAGTCCAAGTGAGTTTTAATGAAGATGTACTTAAAAATCTAAATGATGGTAGTAATTTTGATATTGAAGGGTTATTGGCAGTGTTATAAAACAAATCCTGATTTGACACCTGCTGATGTTAAGAAACTCCAATTTGACTCGGATGATGAAGTTTATGACTTTTATTCTTGTTATGCCAGAATTAATGGCTTTTCTGTTAGAAGAGATGATGTGTCAATGCTCTGCACACATTTCCTCATTTAGTTGGAGTATATTTTGTTGCCAACTTTACTTGTAACTGCTGTAATTTTGTATATCTGTAATTGTTGCAATTTTGGTATGTTACATACTCACTATTTTTTGAGTCATTTCATTCATTCCACAGGATATGTTGATTCCATACCTAGAAGATTCAGCCTTCATTTTGAACTCCATCATTTTATCTGGCTCAGAATATTGAGTATTGGCTTCAGTCAAATTTTGGTGGTTTTAGGTCTTGTAGCTCTTTTAAGACAGTTGGTTTTTAGGGAAGCTAGTTGAAGAGCATGTGTGAGAATCTCTTTACCATTTTATATGAGATTGTTCTCAATGACTTGTTTAAAAATAGCTTCTAGGTGTGAAATTCAGCTAAGACCGCATAGTTGAGTTTGTAATTGGTAGAAGCTGTATTTTTTATGGCTAATTATATTGAGCAAATCGTGTTCGACGCCTGTTAATCAAGAATTCATTTAAATGTCTTCCCGATTGAAGTTTTACCTAAAATTTGGTATGAGTAAACTAGACTAAATGAATATGAAGGAAAAAAAATTTCATAAAAAAATTCCACCGGGAACCGCCCCAAATTGAGACGGCCAAAGAGAGTCTCCAGCATAAGGGCCTATTTGACCTTTTCCCTTATAATAGCTAAAAGTCTTATAACCTTTAACAATTTTGTTTGATGGTTGAAGCTTTAATAATAATAGTAATTTTATCAATAATAATAGTAATAACAAGATTAAATAATAACAAAAAGTGACAAGGTATGATACTTATTCGGTACCTTAATTTCCATCCAATAAAAAAATTCTTTCTCAAACTAAAATGATGTACGTATTTATTTAGGTTGATTTTAAAACTTAGATCAGACCATAGTTGAATTGTATGGACTAGACCATAGTAGTAAAACATACTTACACCATATCATTCCATCTAAGAGTACAGTTCTGCGAAGTTTGGCATTACAAGGCTTTAAACATGACATTTTTTCCCCAAATTTGGCAAAATACTCTTATTGAAGGAATAAAAAACATGATAGTCCTATTTTGGAATTTCAAAACACTTTTACTCCTATTTAAGGTAATTTTTGTATAATTTTGTAAAAATAGTATGCTTAAGTTTGGATTACTTACCTCACATTCTTTGAAATATTGGGATACTTAAATTAGTCTTCCCAAATATTAATAATAATGATGATAATGATGAAGATGATCTAGATTTCTAAAATAGTTTCGAGCATAACTACCACACCCATGCTATAGTATCATGCAGATCCATACGAAGGATTTTGTCCTGAATATCCATCCATACTATGGATATCATGATTTAGTGCTACTAATGTTATTGAATTGTTTTTCATGGGTTATTGAAGTGTTAAATACATAGTTGCCGATAGCTCGCTTGTATTAGAATAATAACGATCACAGGGAAATGGCCGAACGACACCTCGGTGTAGTTGCTAATACAAGAACTAGAGTGAGAGTATACTGCTTATGAGTATCAAAATGCTGACTCATTACAATGACATAAATGCTGCTATTCATACTAGAGATGAGTAGGTGGGGGATGTTGTGGCTGAATCCGATTGGTCGCTATCTTTGTCACTTGTGCACTCATGCTCTCAATTGCAGCCGCCATACTTTGGCATTAAATGCATCCTGCAACTTGCAAGGCTTCTCGTTCGGTTCTTGGGCCCAGAAAGTCAATAGGCAATAATGATGTTGATTATCCACCAAGTGTGGAATCTGGCCCGTTCGGAATACACCCTCGCCAGCTGATTAGGTCCCATTCGGGAACTATCTTGCTCTGTTGGGTTCTTCTTGGGTTTATCCTCTTTTCGGGCCCTCAAGATATTTTGGGCCGGAATATTGGGCCGAACCCCAATATCCCATCAATAGATTGGTTTTAAAAATAAATGCTATACTCATTTGGATAAAAGTATACTATTAATTTTGATAAAAACATATATTCACCCCTAAACGTAGTAGAACCTCATCGACTGAAGTTAGAAGACAACATTTTGAAAAATATATATATTCAACTCATTATTCTATAATAATGATAACCATGATGATGATGATCTACATTTCTAATAATAATAACAATAATGATAATAATGATAGTAACAACAACAACAACAACATAATGATGATGATGAAGAAGATGATGATAATTTTAACTCAAGTATTATCGGTCCGTTCATAATAATTCCACATGATATCAGTTTAGCCCATTTAAAAAGAAGTATCCGATTGTGATAATTCGAAGTTTCAAACTTTGATCAGTAAAAGTAGAAATATTTTAAGTGATAATTACACTTAAAATTAAATGGATTTTTTTATAATTTATTTTTAAAAAAAGTAGAAATAATATATTTTTGAAAAAGTAAAAATAACATGTTTTTTTTCTTTCTAAAAATGCATCTAAAAAATGGGATGATATCCATACTATGGTTATCAAAATCTAGGATCGGTCCCATACCCGTTTCAAACGCTACGATTTCGATTCGAGATAAAAATCTATGGAACATTTAAATACCTAATATTCAATTCGATACCATTATGGATCGGATCGGTTTTGTTTTTATACCCACCCGTATCAAAAATATGGTGTTTTTTTTACTCTTCACAAATGAGAAGTGTTTTGAAGATTAAAAAAAATGTAAAAAAATAAATAATGACCAAATATTTCTAAAATAAAGGTAGTATAAAACTTGCACCATATTGACCATGGTGATATACCTAGGGTAACTGCATCATGTTTTTATTCATGAAATTTATGTGAGTAATACTTGCACGAAAAACATATTTTAAAAAAGTACACAAAATATTCCATTTAAATATATTTAAAATAATAAACAATTAGTTATGAGTTTTTGAGATTATTCACTCTCAAACTTAAGCTTACAAGTAATATCGTCTTCCTGACTTTTTTTTGGAGGGAAACCCTAAACCATTGTTAAAATCCTAAGCTAACCTACTCCAATAAACTTGCGGCAATAATATTGAACCATCAAACTCGTCGTGCATCCATTACTCCTTTACGACAAGTTGTGAACCCTATACTTGATTCATTACTCCAGTCAGTCTAGGGGGGTGGTTCATTAAAAGGCCGACCCTTTTTCTTTTCCTTTTCAGATCTCTCCATTTGCTCTTTCTGCTGCTTTCTCTTTGGCTTTGTTGATGCCAATCATGACCTCGGCAGAAAGTCCTAGAGCAGAGCCAACAAGAAACACCAACATTTCATCCTTTGTTTTCTGATAAACTCTGCAAAATTATGTAAAGAGAAATCTTTTGTGTTACAATTTAGAAATAATGCAGAAACTTTGATTCATATGTAAAACAATGATGCAAAAACTGTTGGCTAAAAATTGATTTCAATCTTATTTCCTAGTCTTCTTTCCCAGAGAGGGCAGAATGGAGCATGAGGATTGCAATCAACACGTTTCAGAGCCAAAATATGAACGCCTTCTTTTCTATATTGATGACACCCATCTGCTTTTGGTTCCTTGACCCTCAATTTTCTGAAAGTCAAAATGCTTAAGTCTAAGCACTAGATGGGTGGTCAGAAAAAAGCACCAAACGAAGGTTTACTAAAAGCAATACCAAACAAGCCGTTAATTAAGCTGTAATAGCCAGAGATAGACACCCTCGAAATTGTCTGATTATAATTTTACACTTTTCAGAACTTCTTAATTCAGATGTAATCGCCAGATTTCTGATTGTTTTATAAGAATCTGTTATTAATAAAGAAAAATTCAGCAGGAATGTGGTGTTACCTATCAATTAGTCTAGTATGACTTTATTCATCTGATATAAAAAGCCAAGCAAAAAGACAATTATCTGAAGTTTTAACCTGTTAGGCTGTTATATTAGGATTGCAACAGTGTTAAATGCATCCTTGAGCCAAAAGCCAAAATCTACAGATATATTTCTCAGGCTCCATAAATATAATCGAGTTTTCATAATGAAAATGGAACTTGCCTCAATTGAACAAACCAAATAAATATGAACAACACCCAGAAAGTCCTTTCCCAACACCTATGGGAATCTTTTACCCCCACCCCGACCTACAAACAACCCTGCAACTTTACCGCAAGGTCAGCCCTCTCATATACCCAACCAAACAGGTAAAAACAAGTACTTGATATGTACTACGCAGACATCTCAAACTTGAGTGTATTAAGAGTTCGAAAGAACAAATGAGCTATGTTTGCCTTAATGTCAAATTCGAAACTCATTTATAGAGATAGTAATAGGATTGGTAAATGTTAGATTGTTTCTCAAAATCCACCCTTGAGCTGAGCTTAATTGTTAAGATACTGTAAGAGCCTTTCAAATGTTCATTACAAAACTTGCAATCTATCATTACCCTGCCACCTAACCTCCATTCGACGTGACATTCGACATTCATCTCAACAGCCAACACATAAAATCTATTTATTCCAACTCAAACACATAAAAGTATTAATATTTTAAAGAATGAAAGGTCATTTTACCTTCATTATTTGAAACTTAATGCAGAGATCTCACACCATAAATTTCCGGTTAATTTAATGCTGCTCCGGTAGATAAAGCCATATGATGTTTAATATTTTCAGCACACAAAATGTTGGTGTTTTTAATAAACACAGATAGAATACATAACTGTCAACAAGTAAATATTTTGAAGACTTTGCAGACTTCGGGTAATAGAGAACATGAAAACATAACAAAACAACAAACAAATGTAATAAATCCAAAAACAGGAAGTGGGATTTTTACCTAGTCACTTGATTATCTCAAAGACCCCAGGCTTAGTCTTTTTGAAGTCTTTGAGTTCTTTTAGAAGTTTTTTAAAAAGTTGGCTGGAATCCTAATACCAGATATTTCTTTTTTCAAGACTTTAAGGGGTTGATAAAAATGTGAAGCACTTTCTTTCTGGTAGAAGCAGCAGAGTCCAATGCACGAGTCAAGGAATAGTTATGTACCTAGAATGGGAAAAATAAAAAGCTTAAAAATTGTGTCAAAAATATGTATGAGATGGAGATGTTTTCAAACAGACACTTGACCAAATTATATGTTTTAATGATCAAATGTTGGTAACAATTCATTGGGCGTCCTATATGAAAACATAATATAACAGCAAAAAAATGTAAACTTAAAACTTTATGGAGAAAAGAAGAAGATACCAAAAGATCCCACCACTCTAAAGAAGACACAGATGAAGCAGCCACATCCTATATGCTCCAATTTATTCCTAACCTAGTTACACAAGAAAACAATGAATCCATCTTATCTCTACCCTCGGCGAATGAGAATAAAGAGGTGGTATGATAATCAACTGCACAGATTGCAAAGTCATACCTCATCCCCCATCATACAACCACATCAATATGAAAATGTAAGAGATGGGTCCCTTTCCAAAATTAGCACCCATCGATTTCAATCTATTTAAATCAATATTATAAGATAGAGAAACTGAAAGCTGT